TCTTTTCCCTCATTATTATTCCGTCAGATTCCGAATGGAATACAGGGCTTCAGAAACACTCAAATTTTATCCTGTTTTCTGCAGTCCTCTTTGGCTGGCTCCGTGGTTGCCCAAAAGCTCTCATCTCCCCCTCAAACGATCTCCTTTATGTCACCCTCAGGCCACTGCTCACTCACTGGTGTTCTTGGCATGTATCCGACTTAACTTCACCTTCTTCTATATATTTGTTAGGCTATTGGTTCTTGGTTGGTTCGTTACACCGCCTAAGTCTCTGTTAAGAGTCCTTTCTGCCTTGTCATCTGATTTTCAGCATAGAGGGAAGTGAGCAGCTGTTGGTGAATGTTTGAAGCCAGCTGCTTGAAATACTTTCAATGACATACGAAGTCTCTTAGCTAAATAAAACCACTGACTACCTTAGCATTAATGTTGATAATTTGAATTTTGTTCTTTATGCTTGCCTTTTTTCCATCAGAAAGAAATCCAACAGGATTTTTGAAAGACTCTAAAATCTTCAAATGTTGGTGTTCACACTTTAATATGAAACCATAAGACTAATCCTGATAATAGGAAATATGTCTCTTTACTACACTACTTATATAGAGAATAGATAGAAATGACTGATGAAGACAAAATTTTACCTGGGTGGAAAATCCTCCAATGAAATGATATAGTCAGCTCAATTCTAATAAACGTTTTTCACTAAGTGAATAAATGTTGTTTTCATGGTTCATACACTTATCAAGTTCAGCAATCTCTACATGTTTGTTATTTCTTCTAATTCATTCACTTGACAAAGCAGAATCGTCTCATACAGATGAACTATGACCGGGTGACTTGAAAGAATCTGTCAGAGTGAAACACTGAAATGTCGATACAAATTATTTGTTTCTGGGTTAATTTTCATTTCTCGTTGATTGATTATGTTGGACTTAAATGCTGGGTCTCTGATGACATATGGGTTCCCAGTATGGACACTTCAGCAGTGGTGTCTGAGGATCAAAATGATGTTATATAGGCTGCCAGTGAACATCCATGGAATCCAGGATGCGCATCTCGTCCTATTTGAGAGCAGTCAATTGGATATGTCTCTAACTCTAAGGATTGATGTTGTTCTCACTTAGTCTAGATCCTTGCGACTACCGTTTCAAACACCACTGTTTTCTATTCATTTGGAGGTGTGAATTTTAATGGCACCATGCACCGTTAAACAAGTGCCCAAAGTTCTGCAAACTATTAAACCTGAATTAATTTAGTGAAATGTCTTTGATTTACTCATTGGTTGATTTCATTTTACTGAGACACCGTCAATGTTGATATGTATTCTCGTATTAGAGGCGTTCTGATGTTACCCTGAGGTTAATACGACATTGTTAGAAGTTGGAATTCATAAGCCAGCCATTGGACCGCGCTCCAGTGGCAGAATGGTCTACGAGCTCACCATTCAACCAGATGGCCTTGAATTCGAACGCCAGTATGTCTGTCCTGCTGAAGACTACAGAACTAGGACGTAACTGCCACCCAGTATTCCATTTGTTCTGTAATTGACGTCGCCTCGTGATTAAACCTGATAAGGCTTTGTTGTTTGAAATAGTGCATTCTGAATTCAAATCCAACACCGCCAATTTGCATACAGTTACAACTAAGTGACGAGTCCAAAGTAGGATAAGACGCCCCCGTTTGATTCGAATGTTAGCCTCCCTAAATCAAAATGTAACCTGGTTTCGTCTTGATTTCGGTGACTATAAGTCTTAGCAATTATTCTTTAATCATTTTCAAGTATGCATTATTGGGAACATTTTGGGCGATAATGAAATAAATGTTATTTTATGTCATTTATTATACGCTTTCATTTAGCTACCAAACACTACTGGCTGATGTGAGTAGTATATAAGGACTCGTTTCAATCAGTTAATGGTGTATGGTTACTAATAATAGTTTTTCATATGAAATTCATAAAAATTTTATTTTCATTTCAAATTAACCTCACTTCGTGATTGTTACTATTGTTTCATTTTTTTCGAATGAATGGCCTAATTTAAGTGACCTATATTTATTCTAAGGATTATGTAAGTAAGTTTGTTTATCAGAGAGAGTGAAAAACTTTAAGTACAAACCGACTTTTATAAACTTCAAAACAACAGTGTCGACAATTTGACTGTCCTCCAAGTTTCGTGTTGTTCATACATTCAATGTCAATGTACTCTTGTAAGCGGATTACTGGACCCCCCCCCTCATCCTCAGTCCATCACTGTGATATAGGGGTTTGTTTTGAATATAAAGTGAGGTTTATTCGAGCTTTGAGACGTCAAAGAGTCATTTTGACACCACACACCTGAATACGCGTCTTTATGCGCCAGAATATTAGCCCTGTATGTTGTTTGAAATTCGATGATACTATCTGGTTGTCCTGGCTTAGGGAGGCGAAGCCGTTTTAGGAATTGGGGAAGATAGAAGCCACGAGTTTTGGCTGATCTTTTCAAGAGATGTATTTGCGAATAATGAAGCTGAACAAAATAACTCTGGAATAAATACTTGAGAACACATACAGATATATTCAAAGTGACTTGGGGAATTCACTAGGAAGGTAATATGTTTTTGAACATCCGTCTTGAAGCATTAATCGAGTGGTATTATCTGTAAACTTCAAATTGTCGTCACCAACTGATTCAGTTGTTTGAGTAATTTAGAATAAAAATGTTTCTTACTATATATCACACCACGAAGTGTTGTTATCGCTCTTTTCATCAGTGCATTAGCTTTCCAAGTGTTGGTTTGCAGGTATTTGATTGATTTCCAATGAGACCACAAACTGAATTCAGTGACGGAAGCAATCAAACCCAGGAGTATTAGACATTTGTTTCCTTTTAATTTCTAAATCTTCATCAGCTCACATCGTCCTATTGGATGAATGAACAATGAGCTCACCTCGTAAACTGAAGGTTGTACGCTCGATTCGTGCTGGGTCGTGGTTACATATTGCCGTAGAATTCAAAGATAGAATGAAACAATTATCCACTACTCCCTGATTTCCGGTAGTTCTTTAAATTATGTCACTTCATAGTTAGACTAACAGCGTATTAGCTTGTTTAATGGGAAGAATGTGTTATTAGCTTGTGTGATACCACCAAACAGGAAGCCATGAATAAATTTCATCCCAGCCAATGAAATAAACCATTCATGTTCTAAAATATTTCAGGACAGTTTTATTCTACAGTTTCAAAATCAATGAATGAAATTCATTCAAAGGTAGAAGTCAGATAAAATCACTCAGCTGAAACCAAAGATCAACTCATAGTCCGATAGTTTGCATTCCCAAAGTTATACCTCGTCAGGCTGAGAAATCTTAGATTTAATTGTGAAGATCTTGCCTTTGAGCAACTAGAATCTCGGACCAATTTACTACTCAATCTTCAATGGTGACAATCAAGTAAAATGTAGTGACTGTATTCGAAGTATTGTCACTATTATAGACTGCAGCATCGAGTCAATATCTTCCAACATCTCAGAGATGCAAAACTGCTAATGTTCACTTTATTGCACAACATAAACTCACATGCATTGATTTCATGTCTTGCTCGGTCTAATCACTCCTGATTTCAAATGGAACATACGTACATTAGCTGACATTACTGGTTAAGAAAATCAAATTTTCAGGATGTATAAATTATCTGTGAGTCAGTTCACTTGGTGAAGACTCACCCCCACCCACCTTATGAGATGACTTGAAGAGAAGCATTTCTGAGTCTAATGAGTAGATCTGTCTGGTGTGGAGCAGTGTGAAGCATATCACAGCTATCATTTTCAGATAGTTGAAGATGGTATTGTTCAGAGATCCTGTGTACGACTGGTGAGTTATAGATGATAAATTTTTCTGGTCGTGAATCTCACCCTGTTTCAGTTATATCAGCTACTGGATGCTGACGCGTATCTGTGGACGATAAAACACTTCCAATCTCAGCCTTTTTTACATAAATCGTGGGGATAAAATCTGTAGAGCAGACCCTCCTACCTTTTTTCAGCTAATAACAAGGAAAGAGGACCTACAAGCTGTTAGATCATATAAAAATATTATTAATAAATCACTGACAGATATTCGAAGGCATCAGCTACTTTAGGACTATTAGTCTTATTAACCAATAATATTCTGAAGGCGTCATTTACAGATGCCTTCGGTTACGAGCGACTTGGCACTGAGACATTTTGAAATCAGGTATTTTGTGACGAAAACACAGTTAGACTCCACAATCTTTTGGTTAACAAAGTGAGTAGTATGGAAGAGTACAAAGGCATTTCTTGCTTCTGGATTTATATATATACAAATCTGAACTGTGATACTACTGATATTATAAGCTCTTGGATGACGGAGGTGAATCAAGTTAACCAAACTAATTATCGCTTTGATATATTCTAAGATAAATTCTACTAAACCTGAGTCTTGAACAGTCAGCAGTTAAGACATCTTCCCAGTTGAATATTAGCTTCCAACTGCCGTTTTTGAGTGAATAAATCATCTTCAGTATAATCCTTAGTGATGAAAGACTTTTCTAGATTCAAGTAATACTGAACTTTAATCTCTCCGGCAATTACTGGAAACCAAGGAGTACTAAACAAATTTTACTGTCATCGTTTAACACCTTTTCGTAATGTGTAACCATCAGTCTTATAAGAACCGTTTTTAACTCGCTTAAGTTATTAGTCGATTATATCACCATTAAGCCAGTCGGTCAGTTAAAACTGATGCAGTTTATCTCAAATGATGTTGTGACAAGATCAATTAGATCCCTAATAAAGAAAAGCTCAATTTATTTAAATTATTTTAATTATATATGAATGTCTTGTTATCTGAATTTTAGTTTTCAGTGGGAATGCAGACCTTGAAAATGTACATGCACACATATACTCAATTCAACATGAAACCTTTTTTTATATTCTGAACATTATGTTCGACACTAGATAAGTATTGACAGTTTTTTTCTTATTGTTTCTCTCTTAATGATCAGCCTTTAGCTGCTCGATTGAAAATTGAATGGGATTATTATAATCCGTATTCTCGGTTGGCGAATGGAGATGTCTGTGACTATTTCGTCGCCAGAGAATGTGATGTTTACTTCAGGCTATGTCTAAGAAGGGAAACTGAGTAGGTTTATCTTTTGGTGAGAGCTATTGTTATTGTAATATGCAACCATTAGTCAAACAAGAACCGCTATTATATCACGTTTAAGTTACTAGTCGAGCATATCATCATTAAGTTATTGGATCAGTTAGCAATAATTTTGTATATCTCAAATTACTTCCTGATGAGATATAATTATTATTAATTTTAGGGACCCTGTTCTCACGAAAATTTATTTTTAAGCGTTCGTTAGATAGTAAAATTGATTTCAATTAGGGATGCGTCTTGACAACCCCACCAGAGGTTGAATCAATGACCTACAGGTTACGAGGCCAGTCCATTGACTATTCAGCTACCAGGGTTTAATCTCTATAAACCAATACTTGAAAATTAATGTTGTGCACATTGAAGATTGACTACAAAATGGAATTCCTAGAATAAACAATAAGAATACTTGACCACTGGAGTCTAACATTTGAGTGTGATGATAAATGGTGGTCGGTTACTTTTGCTGCAACCGGTGTTATAGATTGCAAAATTAGTACAATTTAGGATTGATGGGCTATTTGATCTAGTCCCAAAGAGCGAATAATCATTGTGCTTGCCTTGTAACCTTTAATTTCTGAGTTCCATCCCATTGGGGTCAAAGGTGCTTTCTTCGAAGTGGACACAAAGTGCGATGAAACAGCTTTTCAGTGTTCATTAGCCCTCTGAATAATGCCGCTTCCTGGTCTGACCTGAAAATTTACCATTATTTAAGTTCCATCTTTCATTCTTTTAGATATATGGTAAATGTTTCAATAAATTTAAAACTAAGTTTAATTATATTATACCTGAAATTATATAAACAGGAGTTTTTAATTATTCATAACTTTTGTAACCGTTAAATTCTATGAAGAGGTTGACAAATGTACGATAAATGTTTTTGAAATAAAAAAAATAATTTGGGTTGACATACGACTCGAACCCGTGGACTCCAGATTGCTAGTTAATCGTTTAGCTATAGAACACAATCACTCACTGTTGAAATATATTGTTTTTTGAAATTAATCTATGTAGAGTAATATATCGGGATCCTAAAGACGATGAGGAAGACTGCTAAATAACGGCAGTTACAGGCGGTAGTCAATAAAAGGAATTCATAAGAATAATCATCTACCTCCAGGCCTGACAGTAATTTTGACAGACGGTGTCTATAACGCTATCTATCTGACTAACTGGTTTTAACGTAGAAATGTGCACATATGTGCAGCAGTTATAGTGGTCACGCTCCATGTAACAAACAAAGGAAGAAAAAAGAGAGAGGGGAGAGATTCAAAAGAACCATAATAAGTGGAGGTGTGAGGGAGAAAGAATAGCAACATGGAAATACATTAGTGTTTAATAGTTATGATACATCTCAAAGAGTGGACGTATCTGCACCGTTTGAGAATCATTCCGAGTCATTTTGCCAACAGACCTAAACCATCGGTTCTTAGAATCCTGAGGATCCGAAACAAGAAGTCTACACCTACCTCCTTATGTGGCTCAAACTGACCGACTATCAATAGACTTCTTGAAATGATTCCAAGTTTTGGTTTGACCACGACTATCTTTTTCCCCCACTCAATCCTATATCAGGTAACATTATCCATCTAAGAAAGCGATGGGCAGGCATGCGCAACACATGTCCTAAGCATCTAGACCAACGTAGCTTCATAATTTCAACAATTCACTTGAACTCGTTACCTAACACAACTCCTAACTTTAGTGTCACTCATTATATTATACCACTTAACACGTGAGACAGAACGCAGACACCTATTATCAAAGACAGCTATCCTTTTCATGTCTTCCACATTCATTATCCATATCTGACAGTCATAAAAGAGGACATACGTCGTTTGATCGATAGCCGGACATTATGTCTACTTCAGAGGTTAGGTACGTTAGCGAATTTCATATCAGCCTCTTGTATCCTTACTGAGGCTACGTCAACAATCAATTGACTGTGATGCTGAGGAATCTTACACTCATTTAAAATGATTATTCGGTGTATCCTTGTAACAACAGAAGACAAGGGCCAGGCAACAGATCGTTTATTAAGGAAATCAACACATATTTATAGATTTTCATGTACATATTATAGATTATTGTTAGCAGAAACACACAGTCTTCTGATTAGTTGTTTCTCACAGAAAGTTAACCTTGCATCTGTTTGCGATTGTTTCTTGAATGTCAGGTCATATATATGTTAACTGTATCTGCCTACGCAAATTCTGCTGTGATTGGTAGTTGAATCAGTCTTATTCATATTTTCTCACGACCAATATTTGCAACATATCCATTGACGTAAAATGCTGTCTAACATTTTTGGCTAGCCTCCTCTCACCAGAGTTAAATCACAGCAGTTTAGGCCGAAGTAAAACTCAGTGAAGCCTGTTATCATCGATGATATTCGTGAGTGTGGTGGACTGGATCGTGCAACAGACCGTGGGGATCGAGAAGACAGGGATACGCTGGACTGATAAGAAGATTTTTAGAACGTCAACATTTCACGGATGATTTATGTCGAAGATTCCCTGGCAAAACCTGACAAGTTGGTAGAAGGGATTGGCAGAGAAGAAAGAAATTCAACTAACCATAGAGAAGATAGAGGTTATGAAGACACTTGGCAACCAAAAACGACAAGCAACAATCACTATCCACGGAAGAGATTTGAAGGAGGTCGTTCCATTCACTCGCCTAAATGGCACTACTTCAGCCACAGGTGGATGTTGCGAATGAATATGTCAAATGCAGGATCGAAAAAGCAAGACAGAAATCCATTACTGCGAAATCAGTGTAGAAATCTACTTCACTCAGCACAAAAACAAAAGTGGAATTTTCAACACTAACGTTAAGTCAGTCTGTTCTTCTACACGGTTAAGGAACTTGATGTTTGAGTTACGAAAAGCATCTGGATCAGATTGCCGCAGACATTCATCAAAAACTGCCTTCTATGGCTCCATAGTGAAGACCAAATGATGAACTGGAACGGATTAGCGACGAGAAGCTTAGCAATCCAACGAACTGACCAAGAACCTGTTGTCGAACAAATATTGCGAAGAAAATAGAGATGTGTCGAACACAGTCAGAAAAGGCCGTTAAATAGCTTTGTGCAACAGTCGGAACCTAAAGGAAAAATAGTAGGTTAAGCCAAAATGCCAAATTAAAATATGTGTTGATAGTTGAAGACGCAGACCACTGGTACTTAATAAGTTAAAGTTATTATTAATAACCGTTGATTCCTTGCTTTCTGAGTGGGACATAGAGGCCTTATTGCCTCATCTCCATCACGTTTGATTTCTTGGATTCTCTTTCATCTAACTCCATGCCTGTCCACATTTTTTCATCTCCTCTTCAAATGTTTTCTCCCATGCCATCGTCGGATGCCCAACTTGTCACTTACTATTTGGGCATCAACCGCTAGCCTGCTGCGTGATGTGAATCAGCGTTCGCTTTAGTCTATGCTCAATCCACCTCCATTTCCTTCAGGATGTCACTCGGTTATGGAAAAGGTTGTTGTCTGGTGCACTGCCTAAGTTCCATATCGCTTTCCCTTTTTGGTCAACCATTATCGAGCGAAGGGGTAAACTGCTGATGAAATTCTACAGACTACGTTTGCTGAAGCGCACACAAGAAGTCTTTGAATCATGTGCAATTCCTAACTTGTCTTGTGCTGATTGCTGAAGACCTGCACACTGATTTGAAAGTGAAGAACACTTATGTCGCTTTCCAGTTCCTAACTGGCTTCGACATCTACATAGTTAAGACAAAGGCAATTCAATTCGATCAATTTATCCTTAGTCTTAGTAGTATTTTAGTACCGTTAATTTGTACTAGAAGTATTCCTCATACTCTGGTTTTCACCTACAAAGAAATATGATGCATAAATATGTGTACTTAGTGTTTTAAAGAGTTTATTTAAGGAGATTTGATTTGTTTCAGGTGTTTTTATGGATTGGTATCAGTTAGTGAACCAATTTAAACCAGATAGTATTGAGCACCTGTTTCATCCTAGTTTCGGATACATTGGAAAACCTTAAACAATTAGAATCCCTACAAACTAACTCTTTAAAATGAATCTGATGCTCACTATTGACTGGCTATATGTTGAAGGCGCCTAGAATTCTAGTAAGAAGCCGTAACCAATGGAGTTCACCCGGTTGGGAATGAGGACAAATACTCGCCGATGACATTTGCTGGTGGTCAGGCTAAAAATCACTCATTAGTAGAGGTTGGAATTCTTGGACCATTGAGTTGAATGCACTACTAGCTTGCCTTATTAGCTGTTTATTATCCCACTGCATTTGTTTATTTTTCTCAAATGTAGCTTGCTTTGACACAAAATACCTTGATAGATGCATATTACTTAACATTTTCAAGTGGATTTGTTCCAACAACATTCACTATCTCATTAAGTAATAACTGATTAATCTATACACGTAATCAGTGTAATGTATGCATGAATATGTACGTATTATTTTGATAAATTGATTCAACATTAACTAGGAATGGAATACTCTAATTAACATTAACACTGTTCACAATATTTGATTACACGTATATACACTACCGGTTAAATACCTTTTCAAATTCCGTGTCAATTATCGATTAAATGTATCTGTTAGAATTAGAATTAGTTTTCATTGAATATTATACGCAGCAGGTATGTTATATATGTGATATTTTAAAATGCCCGCTACTACTGTTCAATAGTGTTCAATGTCAGTTAATTGTTTACACATTTGACACATATCACATCGAATATCACTTTTAAGGTAAATAAAATCACTGTATTTTGTTTGAAATTCATTAAAACATAAATTATACAAGCATTTAAATAACGGGTTTCATTTAATTTTATTCAAATTTATTGTAAAAAATATTCGTCTATTAGTTAAAATTGTAATCTTACTCAAATGTTTACTAAGTGAATCTATTAAAAGTGTTTATGACGAATAAGAAATTAAGGGTTTCATTAGGATAACTAAACAAAAATGTCCTGATAAATAAAGTTCATTAATAAACACCTCTTGTTAAATAGACCGATTTAGTATGATAATGCATGCTACTGACTGATGCATGCAGCCAGAAAACACTCACGTCAAACAGTAGTGCTTGCTAGGTTGATGTAAGTGACCTAGACACTGAAAGTTTGTCTCCCTCGTTCTGGACTGCATTAGTCAACAGTGTGCTTGAACACATCTAACCTGAAGATAGGGATCAGTTCAAACTAAAAACGGATCATGAGGTGGAAATCACAAATTCCATTAAAATTGTCAATAGATAAAATAGCTCAATTCTCCTCAAGTTTACCGAAGCAATCTTTATCAAACGCCTGAAACCTGATATTATGCGTTCGTAAAGAAGCAATTATCAGTGTTTCCTTGAGCTGTCTGGTAGGTGGATGTCTTTATTCTCCCTCTCACTTGAATAATCTTTGGCTTTAACCTCTACCCACCCCCTACCTTTGATATAACGTAATTTCGCTTGTTTCTTCTTTCTATGATTTGAGTTGAACTCAGTATATTGTTATCTCATTTATAATTTACTCATCATCTTACACATCCCTCATCTTTGTTACGTGACTCCCTTACCATTGTGTGCATACATTTACTTGGTTTAAACTTGAACTCCCTGAGCAAAAACTATGTAAGCGTATTTTTCTGACCACTGTTCACTAAGTCCAGAACCTTCTGTCAACTGACGGTACTAAACTATTCTGCAAAACCTGTTGTTCTTGCTTAATTCAAATTCATAAACGGAAATAAATGTATGAAGTTTCCAAATTATTTACCAAGTGGTAAAATGACAACTTTTTTGAGTTTATTTTAATCATTAGTTTTTTTTTCTGTTCGACTGTTTTTTCCACTAAAGCATAGACTATTGTAATCTTCTTTCGTATACTACAAGTAAATATGATAATTCTGATTATAAGGAGTTTCAAGGAGATTATGGAATTAATCAACTTCTGCGTCAACCAGTTGCTGTAAGTTGGCACTCATTTTTAAAACATTTTTACACATTGAAAAGTTTACTCATTCTGTTAATCCTTTCTTAGGGTATAACATGTATCGATCGCCATCTTGAAGATTTAATGTTTATTGTGGTAAATTACTACAAAACCTTAAGAAGATAATGAAGTATGTGTTGATTTCACGACTGGGAAAAGCAGTATCAATCATTTTGTATTAGGGTTGTTCAGTTTTTCGCTATCTATGTGTGTTTGCTCATTAGGTTCCTCTTCGAATTACAATGGCTCTTCTTCTTGCTCGGTGGCTTTTCCATTGGCATATAAACTATTACTGTTACCATAGAAACATTGCTCCCCACACACTACTAATATAAATTTTTAAACAAAACACACAAGCACAACACAAAATGAAATAAAACATAAACACGAAGAAAAGATTTCAGCGAAGAAAATTCTCCTTACGATGATTTCCTTTTCATAGTTTTACGATTGTATTTATACATGAATTACAATGGACAATAAAATGTACTTTTGCTATATGTATGTGTGTGTGTTGAAATTAAACAGTGAATGGAAATATTTCACATGTTAGACGTCGTCAGAAATTAAAATGAGTTAAAGAGATCACTGAAAACCGGGGAGCACTGGATGATTCAGCATTTGTACACACAATCCCATTAGAGGGTGAATTGGTGGCCTTCATTTTTTACAAGAATTTTCTCTTTGACCATTCAGTCACTTTCGCTTAATCATAGTGAACCGTGAACTCTATCCTCGTCAGCTTGTGACATAGTGCTACCCTCACCAGTGTCTTCGATGAGCGATCACTTCATCTTGAATTGCTCACGTCTTCTCAGTACAGCTTCATAACAACCGTTTAGTAGCCACGAATGAGCTGGAAGTTGATATTCAGACTATAAAGTTCGTGAGGATTTGGATTACTCTAATTTCTACTGTTAGATATTTCTTCAAATGACTGTTAATTTGTCTTATATCTTTGAAGGTTATTTTTATTGATGAATTATTGGTTTTTGAATGTTGGTTTGCACGGGTTTGGTTGATTTCAAGTTTGATTACAGATTGATATCATTTAGACAGAGAAACACTGAAAACCAAAGAGTACTGTATAAGTGTTGGGACTCTTTGGCAGTCGGCACTCACCCATCTCAGAGGGTGAAGCTAGAGCCTTGCGGTTACAAGGTGAGCTTATACACCTTTGAAAGCTTTAGATTTCTTCTATGAAATCTGTAGAGATAATTCCAACTGATTCATTAAATCACACTGTTGACTTAAGCACAAAATTTGTCTATAATACGGTGTTATATTATAAATAAGCTATTAAAATATAATGCACAAGTCTCAGATTGTGAGATGCCTACAGCTAAATTCCAATAAATGTGCCGCCAATATGCATCAGTAAGGAAAACCAGAAAGGATGTGCCAAGGGCAATCCGCAGTCAGATTAAATAGCGCGCGAATGTCTAGATAAAGAATAAAAGGATCGAAATAAAAAAAATCATCGAGACCCGGAGAACAGAGAAGATACCACTTGACTGTCAGAAAGTCTTACATAATATTAATATATTAAGTGAGATAAACTTCAAAAGTGAACAACAGTTATGGTTACGCAGTAACAACACAGCCAAAATATATACGCACACTACTTACTACCGATAAGTAGTATAAAGTAGAATACACGAGAAACAGTAATAAAGTATAGGGCAGAAAAAAATTAACATTGCCGGTAGGATGAAATTCAGTAGCCCCGCAAACCAACATCTGGAAATTAACCTAGTGTTCATTTGCTGCTAACAACAGGCTGAAGTTTTCCGAAGTTCCAGTAGGAATCCGTAACCTCACCAATTTGAGTGTGAGAACAAACACAGAAGACGACATTACCTGGCATTCGCGACGTATATCACGAACTGACAGAAATTAGAATTTATGGGCCATTGGAAACTGTCCCAGCAGCTCAGTAGTACATGATATCGACTTGCAGATTGAAAGTCCTGGGTCCCATCTCTGCTGGAAACAGGACTGTGTAATGCTGAAGGATCTGAAACGGGGACGAAACAGTTGTTCGATACTTCCAAGTTTACAGTGGTTCTCTAAGTGAAGTCATTTCGTCATCAATCCCGACTACTATTGCTTCTTCAATGAAGCTGATCAACTATTGTATGGATGGCGTTTCTCTATTTATTTGTCTCCAATTGAGTGTAGAATGCAGAGTGAACACAAATGTACATTATGCGAACAAAACTAATAATCTAAGTTCTCTGAACGTAGTTGATTCTAGCAGACTATTAACCAATGAGAACAAGAGATAACTTGTTGAAGTTCATATGATAATGATTGAATCTCTTTGTTACTCAAAGCAGAAATGTATTGTAAGGATTTTACATCTAAGTGTCCTGTTAATCTCTGTGATGCATCATGAATATACGTTCTAAAATAAGAAGAAAATTAATATCAAGGAAGTTACAAAGCAGGAAGAAATGAAGGTGCAGAAATCGATAATATTTGAAATAAAGAAGTGAAAATGAAAGCCAATTAGAGACTGAACATTTTCAAGAACAAAACATTGATATCAACGAATTTAGGAGATGGCTTTCCATGGGTCAGACAGTTTTTCACCATCTATAGGGGAGGCATAAAATGATCCAATAAATCTTGAACGTTAGACAGAAAACAAACGTAATCGTGTAACCTAACGTTTCTGAAGAATTTAGCCATTGCTGTTATGTAGAACTTCATAAAGAGTTTCAAGGGATTTTCATCTCAAACTTCTGAAGTAATAGAAAAAGACGATCAGCCACTAGGAATGCTAGTACATCTTGTTGGTGAGTCACCAAGAGGATGGAAAGTGAGCATCTTGGATTCCAACACTCGCCTGTATCGTTGTCGTTTGAGGCTATTTAGCAGTAAGCAACAGGGATTGAACTCGGAACCTACAGTGATATCACTTGTTGTCAAAGTTGAAATAAATCAAAACCCTACAAACTAAATCTTAAAAATTGACTTTATGCTTACTAGTGACCGACTTTAAGATGAAGCTGTCTGGAGTTCAGCTAAGAATTTGTGATCACTTGAGTTCATCAAGATGAATGTGGCTGTATTAAAATTGCGAACTGACAGAACCTGGAATTCAAGGGTTACTGGATTCTGGCCCTAGTGGCTGAATGGTTGGCAAGTAACCTGAAGGTCTCAGGTTCGATTCGTGATGGTACCATGGGTGTGCATTCATGAAGAGTCTCAAGCTAGGAGGAAACAGCTGTGATAGGTTCAGTGGTTGTTTAACTAAAGTTAGTCCATAATCAGATTTGAAATGAATGATCCTTTTATTCAACTTTACCTTTATTCTGCTTTCCCCATTTCCGTCGCACATTGTCTTCGAGAATCAATATACTTTCGAAATGAGCATATATGATGAAGATACTATTGGAAACGATGAAAGAATTGCCACTTTGATAGCGGAAAACTTTACACTGCTACCAAAAAATCAGTGGACAAATATAACTATGGTCAGACTATACACAAACGACTATAACGGGATTTAGTAAGTTTTGCTGTTTTGTATTTTCAAAATAAAATCTAAATAGGTGTGTCTGAATATGTTTTGGAGTGGCTAACATATTAGAAACGAATGTTTAATCGCTTTTGGTGATTCAAGAACCTTTGTGTCAACTAGAAGTGAATTCCAACTTGTTTAAACATAGAATAACTGACTCCAGATTAAGTAGAACAACAGTTCTATTCAGCTGATGACTGTCAAGTTTAACAAAAAGAGGTATTCTGTTTTCGATAGGTATTAACTTCAAAAAATATATAATCAAGTGACTACTACAAGCAATGGAGAAAGACATGGCTGCCTACAATCACTGATAGTATTCCTGATTGTTGTGGACTGGATAAGATGGAAAGAGCGATAAGAAAATTTCAGAATATCTCAACTTATCAGATGATTTATGTCTAATCCTACGTGAACATGAAGACTCATTAGCGAAGGCCGACTTCAAGTGAATATAGTAAAGACAGAGGCGATGAAGATTCCTCACTGGTCACCAACAACAACAACAACAAGTTAATGTCAGTGAAATGTTTGTATTTTGTTGAATATTCAGGTATAGACTTTTGTAGGGATTTTGTTTGACTGATTGGAGGAATTCATCTTAAGTTGCTGTTAGTTAGAGAACCACTGAAAAACAGACTTGGAGTACTGAACAGTTCTTTCGTCAGCCTAGTTTTTGACTCTTCAGTAGTACGCACCCACCGCCACGGTTCGAACCCAGGACCTTCTGGTTACAACGCCAGCTAGCTCGTAGACCATTAGGCCACCGGCACCCGATACAATGGCCAACCCATGAATTCTAACTTTAGCGAATTCACAACATAGCACGACCACTTGGTAATGTCTTCTTCGATGAGTTACTGCCTAACCTTCAACCTGCTGTACCGCACTAGTCACAGTTTTCCACTAGAAACCCAGGTAACTGCATGAATAAGGCCAGTCGCAAGTGAGCACTAGGATTATTTTCTAGTATTGGCTTTGTAGGGATCTTTGAGTGATTAGAGGAATTTATCATGAGCTGACATCAAATTAAGTATAATTACATTTCAGTAGTTCACAAACAATGATAAGCTTTTTGTTTTGAAAAATATAGGAATTAAAAATGAATTCATTATCTGATGTGATCAAAGGGTAGTAATTTTGATCAAAATAATACCGAAATAAAAAAAACCTAATCATTGTGAGTAGATTACTGAAATAAAATTAAAATTAATAAAAACAAACCCTAATGATTATCCAATTGGTGGATGGTGGCTAGCAGTGGAATCCAGGATGCGCATTTCGTCCTATTTGGGACTCGTCAGCTGGATGTACCTGCATTTCTCAGTGAGTGATGACGTTCCCACCGAGGCTCGAACCCAGTACCCATAGTTTCAAACGCCAAAGCGTTATCCACTAGACCACTTGGGCAAACGAGACCGAGCACTTCGGTCCAGTCAATCGACGGGAAAATCAAAAATTCAATTCAATAATTAATATGACCCGTTGCACAAGAGGTGGCTCTCGCGGCCCAAGTGGTCAAGTGGATAACGCTTTGGCGTTTGAAACTATGGGTACTGGGTTCGAGCCTCGGTGGGAACGTCATCACTCACTGAGAAATGCAGGTACATCCAGCTGACGAGTCCCAAATAGGACGAAATGCTCATCCTGGATTCCACTGCTAGCCACCATCCACCAATTGTATACTAACTAAATGCCCGGACATCGTCGAAGCATCTGCACAAGAAGCCGACATGTCAACCTGAGACTAAGCACTTCGGTCCAATCAATCGACGGGAAAATCAAAAATTCAATTCAATACCTAATGATTATCAACACAAGAAATTTGACAACCCTTACTTCTTTTACCATCCTTTACAGTATAGCATCAACAGCAGGAGGACAATGCAGATACAGAATCGGAAAAGGAAGACAGACACTCATTAATATAAAATCAGTGCAGAAATCTGCTTCGATCAACATAAAGGACAAGATTTGGATTTTCAACACCAATTTTAAGTCAGTCACCACTTCTGTATGGTTCAGACACTTGGCTTGCGTGTCACCAATAGCATTCCTTAAAGGTTTTGGCAGACTTTCACTAACAAGTGACTTCTATGGCTCCAAACTGAAGTTCAAAAGATTGAGAAGGATAAACAACAAGAAATTCTGTCAATAGATCAACCAGGAACCCTTCACCCAGAAGAAAATGGAGGTATGAGCTGGACACAATGAGAAAACTTTTGAACGATATCACGCTACAACCCATCTGTTTAATGGAACCCGAGTGAGAAACGATGAATTCGGTATGAGTCCGAGGGTGTTATGTAAGAGATCATATGAGGAGAAGACGAGAGCTTATGAGCAATAGTGAGGTTAATTTAAGAGGACTTCAGGGAACAAGATGGCATGGGGATGTATTGTTGAAGCCAAGGAATGGCTCTCAACGGACTCTTGGAAATTAATAGAAGAAAGGACAATGGTGAGAGAAAAAATAATTCAATGCAAGGACGGACAGGAGAAGGAGAAGCTGAGCTCAACTTACACAGCACTTGACAAAGAAGTGAAGAAGAGTGCTAGGAAGGACAAAAGACGATTCTACGACAACCTCGCCACTGAAGCTGAGAAGGCAGCAGGCAAAAGGGACCTGAGGACACTATATCAGATAACCAAATCTCTATCCGGGAAGAGATCAACACAAGTGAAACCTATAAAAGACAGCCAAGGGAACCCAATTACCAAGGAAGAAAAACAGATTAAACAATGGGCGGATCACTTCAAAAGACTCTTGAACCGACCATTACCTGCAACGCGTGCAGAAATACCAACAACAGCGTGCACACAACTGCAAGTTGACACCAATCCCCCGACGAGAGCTGAAGTCTTGAACGCAATCAAGCTTCTGAAAGCTGGAAAAGCAGCCGGACCAGATAGAATACCCCCTGAAGTACTGAAAGCGGACCCAGAGACTACAGCAGACATGCTGACTGCATTATTGCGAAAGGTCTGGAAGGAGGAGGGAAAGGAGCCTACTGACTGGAGAAAAGATTACCTCGTGAAACTACCAAAGAAGGGCGACTTACGCCTCACTCTGCAAGAACTGGCGAGGAATCATGCTCCTGTCGACACCAAGTAAAACCCGGAGTTGCATCATCCAGGAGAGAATAAAGGACGCACTGGAGACAGAACTCCGACCAGAACAAGCTGGATTCAGGAAAGTCAGGCGAATCATGTTCTGACCAAATTGCAACTCTATGCATCATCATCGAACTAAGCATGGAATGGCTATCAAACCTCTACCTCAACTTTATAGACTTTGAGAAGGCCTTCGACAGACAGCGTTGACCGCGATGTAATTTGGAAATTACTCGAGTACTATGGCGTACCCCAAATATTCATCAACCTTATTCAACAGCTGTACGACAACGGCACATGTCAAGTGATCCACAACGGAAAACTCAGTGAGGCGTTTGGAGTAAACACAGGAGTCAGACAAGGGTGCTTATTATCACCCACCAATGATATTCCTAATTGTAGTGAACTGGATTATGCGTCAGACACAGGTGAACGAACAGAGACGGACATCTTGGACCGATGTGAAGAACCTAGAAGAGCTGGATTTCGCACGTGGATGATTTATGTTTGATGTCACACACAATCGAAGACTTACAAGCGAAAACCGACAAACTGGTCGAAGAAGCAGCCGGCGAAGACAGGATTCCATGTGAACATAGACAAGACGGAGGTTATGAAAATAACCAACCAAAAACAACAGCAGCTACATCCAGCGCCAATCACCATCAACGGTAGTGATTTGAAAAAGGTTACTTCATTCATTCGCTTATCTAGAGAGCACTGTCTCAACTACAGGCAATTGGAACGGACGAGGATGTCAAATCGAGCGAGAATCGGGAAGGCGAGAAACACATTCATCAACCTGAGACCAATCTGGAAATCTTCGTCACTCACCATCAACAACAAAATTCGGTCGGATTTTCAATACAAACGTCAAGTCTGTCAGTTTTTCTATACGGATCAGAAACTTGGCGAGTGATTCATAAAGAATATTTCCAACAGCATTTTGCACACCTTTATCAACCACTGTCTTCGCTGGCTCTATACTGAAGATCAGATGGCCTGGCTGGAAAGAATCACCAACAAGGAACTATGGAAACGAACAAACAAAACAAGAACCAATCGCCCAACAAATATGCAAGAGAATGTGGAGATGGACTGGAAACTCTCTGAGGAGGCCGCTGGGTGACATCGCGCGTCAGGCCATTGCTCGAGTGGAACCAGTCCGAAGAAAAGCGGTGAGTGGGATGTCAGTGCAAGGGTGACATGGAAGAGGTCGTGTGAGGATGAGTTGAAACAGTATGGACTAAGATGGATTCAGTTGAAAAGTACAGCAGAAGACAAAAGCAAGTGGAGACGTGCAGTTGAAGCCCTGTATTCCACTAGGAACTCAAGGGAACAATAATAATAATATAAAGATCAGTACAAGAAACTCATAGACTGATGTATTCAGTCCTCTTAAAACATACCAGAAGCAGCTGAAAAGATCGGCACTGTCTCTAAATGGCTGAGAGTGAAATGATAATATTAGTCGTGGGGACGCTTACGCTTTGGGGGTGACCACTAGTCAGAATGCTGCCGTGTTTCTAGATATTCATTTCAGTATCAATTATCACCTGTTACAGATATACAGTATAACAGTAAGTCTGTAGAATATTTCCTTCTAAATGCTTTCACAATTCGTACACGGTTGTGTAAGAACAAGAATGCCTGATCAATACTTTTGGGTGTCCAATACAAACTGATGTTTACAGCTTGCCGACAGAAGTTAAACTGTGTCAAATTCGGTTAAAGAGCTCAGTACACTAGAGCCGGATTCGTCACTAAGAAGTGATATGCTTTGAACTGGTTGTATATCCTTGGAGGTAGCCCAAGGTATAGCGCATTCAGGATATTCCTGGATTGCTAACCATTGTCGGAACTTTATGGACATA